AACAGAGAACAGAATGGCAAAAGTTGGCTGTTGGAGAAGGCAGGCTAGCTTCACAGGATGTCCAATGAATAAGAGAGATGCAAGGTAACAAAGCAAGATGACACTGAGGAGGAGGAGAGTCAGGCTCTGGTTGTTGGCTTTCACAATGGGAGTATTTCAGCTCTTTAGAAATGTTTGCATGATGAAACATGTAGTTACCACAAAGAAGAGAGCAAGAGAAAGCATAACCATCCCCAAGGGCTCTTGATAGGAAAGGAAAGATACAATCTTAGGGATGCACTGGTCGTGGTTCCCATTTGGGTACTGATCCTCCAGACACGGGACACTATAAGCTGCATCTGAAAAGGGAAAACAGAGTGAGAGTTTGGTCATGCTTAAAGGATCCCTTGATTTCTGCTTTTGGGAAGGGAAGTGAGGAACGCAGTGCGGCAAGGTGCAATGTTGCACAACGTTATGCATAATTTATGCTGGACCAGAATTGCTGACATTTGTATGCATTGTCTCTTAGACTGTCATCCAGAAACCGCTTACCTGCATACATAACTAGTTCATTTCTCTACCACCTGTAGTCTAAACTCTTTCCTCAATTCAAAACAAAGAAAGGCATGAAAGTTACGAAAAATTATGACAACAATATTCAAAATAATACTTAATTTAATGTTTGTTTAACAGAGTTAAATCTACTTCATAAAAGTAATACTGTACCTGGTATTCTTTCCACCAAATGCTAACCATTTGTTACTAAGAATAACTAAAATTACTAACTAAATATAACCAATAGGCACATTCAACGTGGTCCCCTATATTATTATAATAGAAATAGATATTCCGTTCATCTTTGGCAAATTAAAATCAATAAGGGTTTTGTTTCATTTCATTTTAATAAGAATTTAGTAACACTCAGAAGTCTTTTATTTAATTGTCAGGGTGGAAATAATTTGAGATTAATCTCAGAAGCAGAATGTGAGAGGGAAAGTGAAACTTACTGCTGCATCTATACCCAAGCCAATATTTGTGTGAAGTTGAAAGTCTGGCCTGCACAAAAACAAATCCTGTTAAAGAGCAAACCTTGCCCCAATCAGGATGGAGAGTGCAGTGCCCTGAGAGTGTTTTGCATAGAGATGTGCATAGCATCCAGTTAGGCTGTGGGAATGCAATGGATTCCCTGGGCTCAGCTGCCTAAACCGTGGTCCACTGTGTCATGGCCATGAGCCTGAGTTCCTGTTGAGCAACTGCACGGTGATCAGCAGGAATCCAGCCCTGCGTGAGGGTGCATGAGCAGCTTCTCTCTTCAGGATCACATGCAGCAGCCTGAGTTTGTGCTGCACACAATGCAGCATGTGAAGCAGAACAATGCAGTAAGGATTCTGTGAGCATTTGTGGAATTCCTCCTATCTCCCCTCACCTTCCAAGACAGGGCTGTCCACTAATGCATGAGGGACAGATGCCATGGAGCCTCATTACAGCTCAAGTGTTTGACCATTTCCTGCTTTCCATTGGTCCCTTGGAACTTTCATGAATTTGTTCTATCCCAGTGTCATGTTCTCAGTCATTTTGTGGTTGCTGATAGTATTTCCAACCTAAAACTATTACAGACAGACATAACTTCTTCTCCCTCTTCCTCTTCGTTGCAGTTCTAGGCTTCCCAGAGCACTGGTGAGCCATGATTTCAGTCGGTGCAGCCCAGCTCTCAGCACTCTGTCTAACATGGCTGAGGTTAGCCTTGTGAATTTCTCCTGAATGAAACTAGAATGATGTTAAGTAGTTAGACATCTCTCATATAAGTGCATTTTTTTTCTCTTGCTTTGGACACTGAAGACTATTAATAGAAAACATATTTTCAATTTTCTGTCCATTTTGTGTTTTTCCCAAGTACAGCAGTATGAAATTCCAACTTTAATTCACAATAGAAAAAGATTTTCTAATGCTCTATAAGGGAGAGTGTGTGTAGCTCTCACGTAAGCTTACTGGGACACCAAAAATGCACATTGTAGTGTTTCATTATCATTGTGAAAACTATTGCTTCATACTGTATTCTACAAGGCATTTTATACCTATCAACTGTACTGACAGGCCAAAGGAATCCCCTTTAGTCAAGGAAGTCACACACACAGTTCTATCTTGCTGGGAATATGTCTAGTACTGATTATAGCAATGACACCTGTTTTGCTCTGGACACAAAAGACCTTTATCTGATAAGGTCTGCCATTGTGCAAAAGCTCTCAATCTACCCCCTACATTCCCCTCAGAGGGTAATGGATATGCAAGGATTGCAGATCGCAACAGCAACATATTTACGTAGTTCACACAATATATACCTTTTTGCCCAGTTCCTTCATTGTCAGATTTATACACTCCTTCAAGGGCTCCTGAGACACAATCACACTCAGATTCACTCAGAATTTTACCACCTATATTTGAATCCATATTGTTTTGCCTTAGGCAAGTCAAAGTAAATAATAGTTCTTTGGATAATTGCTGAGCAGGCAAGTGCCATCCTGACAGATATGCGCAGGTGCATGCCTTGAGGTCAAACTCCAACCGCCCTGTGCATCTTAGTGCAGGAGTCTGGGGACATGATATTCCTTCCAGGTTACAGTGCTGCTTCCCCAGGGGCCACACGGGCCCTCTGGGCATCTCCTTCTAACCCATCTGCATTTCCTAGAATGATAAGCTGCCTTCTCCCTCTTTCACCATCCACCACTCCTTTGGAGGTTTCCTGGTGTCTCTGCAGCATTTTTCCTCTTTTTCACTTGGCTCCTCCAGGACTTGGTTATTGGTAGTGCTTGGCTTATGCTAAAATATGATAGCATGATATTTTGACACTTGGCAGGCCCTCAACTTTTCTGAATCAGAAGAGAGAGTGATAGAATTCTATTGCATTATGAAGGATGATGTCAAGACATATCTCTTTTTAAGGAAAAACCTTGGGAAACAAAGCTTTCAAAGATCCCTTGTTTTTATCCAGCACAAATCCACACATTTTAATTTTATGTATTAGATTTTTCTCCTGTCCAGTTTAGGAAATGTGTGATTCTAGTTTCTCAGTCAAGGAACTTTTATTAGCATAACAATACAACTCTACATAAATCGACACAGTCCCAGAGTGATCCCCCAAGCACAGCATTGCTAATGGGCACTAGACCAACTCTTCACAATCTCTCACAGGAAGGCTGCTGTTCTCTCCACTGTGTCAGCAAACACAAAGGTTATTCACAAGAAGCATCAATGAAGTCAATGCTCTCTCATTGTGGAGTTAGTTCTTGCCCATACCAGAAGTTCCTGACTGAATCTGCCCCTCCCTTCCTCACCAAATCTTGTTGGATTCCCCCTCAGCAAAGTTTGTGCTTCTTGTGGACCAGAAGGCAGAAGTGACTGTCATTACTCGGTCTGGTTGTTTGACTTGACATTGGGCCACTGGACTGATAAATTCATGCTCCCTTCCCCACTAACCCTCCATGTTCCGTAGAACCTCCTCCTGAACCAGTGATAGCCTGGTTGTCCCTTGGCTCGTCTCAAGCTCCTTAACCTCATCATTTCAACTAAGCACTCTGACCCTGCCTCTTCTTCCTCTTGAGATTCAGAGTCTGAAATATCCACCTTGGCATGCAGTGTTTGGAAGGAATGAAACCAGTCCCTACACCCTATCTTTCCTATAATACTATACTGGCCTGTCAAATAGGCTGTGTTCTACAGTTATGCTAGGTAATATTGTATATAGGAATTGACATCCATTCTTATGACGAAGAGGTTTTTCCTGCACTCCTAATAGCTCATCCTTTTCAAAATGAAATTATATTTTAAGGGGAGAAAATGTGTGGTACATTCACTCATGTACCAAAGTGTATGGAAGACATAGACATTGTAAGGAAAGTCTCCCAAACTCAAGTGTACATAAAATAAGAAGCATTCTGCAAGTGAAAAGGGGATGGGAAGAGATGAGACAGAAAACTATTTGATTTAAACTGTGGCCACATTTACTCATTCCAGCAGATCTGCAAAAGAAGCCCAGTGCAGGCTTATAGAGTAGCTGTCTTGTAATTGTTTGG